CAAAGCTTCCACCCAACTCGGAAAAGGCAAAGCGAATTACAAACTCTGTTGCAACTTTTATTGCCAAGGATCTGTGCCCGTATTCAGTGGTTAAGAACCATGGCTTTCACGCTATGTTGCGCACTTTGGAGCGAACCAAACTTATGAAATCACTCAAGAAAGTGGGTAGGATAGCTGTGCCATGATGTGTGGACATCCATTGCCAGAGAATCTTCCATCACCATAACTGTACATTTTATCACCGATGATCGGCAGCTAGCATCTCACGTGCTTCAAACAAGAACAATGAAGAAGAGTGACACGCATGCAAACAAGTCTGAGCTACTAAAGAATGTAGCAGAGAAATGCCACCTCACTAAAAAAGATTTAGTTCTAGTTACTGATACCACATCCAACATGGGTATTATCAAAAACACAAGAAATACATTCCTGACATACAACAATGACCCACTGGCGAACTGAACTCAGGCAGGGACTTAAATACCGAAACTGAACCGGGTAACGACAAGCAGGAAACAATTAACCAATCAGGGAGAAACACACAAGGACTGAGGCAAGAAAACAGGCAACAGGAGAAACTAATTATTAACTTAAGGAAACTGGGAGATCACAGGGAAACTAAAACTGACCGAAACAAGGAAATCCAACACTGGGGAAATAAGAAAGACAGAGGCTTTACAACAAAGTAAAAACTGATACCAATGAAACACTAGGGAACAAAATCAACAAAATACAAAAACAAAGGATTTGAACACAAAACAGAGGAGTTAATCAGGTTGCCAGCCGCTCAGCTCATTGAGCCAGGCGGCCAACTGGGAAACAGGGGAATCACTAAAGACTAACAACTGGGAGGACAGGATGGCCAGCTACACCTGCTGGCCAAACGGGGAGAAGATGAAAGAATGGGACAAATAGGTACTGACCCTGACATTGGGAGGGTGAGACATATTACTGCATTTCTCCACTGCAGCACCACTGCAAAACACCAGCTTGAAGAGAAGCAGAAGCGACTCGGTCTGCTGAGACATAAGCTGAGAACAGATGTGAGCACCAGGTAGAACAGTGCGTATGAGATGGTTTCTAGAGCAACAATCTGCAGCCTGTGCCTCCTTACTGTCTCCTCAGGTGAGGAGAGTAGAGTCTGATATCTGCACCTCAGATGCAGAGGATATTATCAAGGCCAATGAAAGATGCAACTACTTTCCTGTCGGAGAAAAGCAGCTCCATCACCTGTCTGATCGCCGCTTTGCAAGCTCGACTAATCACAAATGACATGCCCCATGTGGTATGGAAGCATAATGACCCCCGAAAAGATTAAAACACTAGTTGTGAGCTAAATAAATAATGTAAAATTAACAAAGCAAATTTTTTTGAGCTTACCAATGCAAAGATTTTAGAAACGATGTACCCCAAGTTCATCCCAGATTATTTAATCGGGGCAGTCGGATTGTGAATGTACATGCCGGTGCACCGATACCAATCGGTGAATCTTATGTATGTATATGCATGTAGATGTGTGTGTGTGTGTATATATATATATATATATATATATACACACACACACACACACACACACACACACACACTGAAACAATATATGGACAAAAGTATTGGGAGACCTGGCCATTACCCCAACAGAGACTCTTATGACATCCATAAGCATCAGTATGGATTTGGTCCCCCTCTGCTGCTATATCAGCTGCCACTCCACTGGGGAGGCTTTCCACAAGATTTTGGAGTGTTGGGGAATTTTTGCCCATTCATCCAGAAGAGCATTTCTGAGGTCAGGTACTGATGTTGGACATAAAGGCCTGGTTCACAATCTCCATTCTAGTTCATCCCAAAGGTGTTGGATGGGGTTGAGGTCAGGGCTCTGTGTGGCCAGTCAAGTTCTTCCACACCAAACTCACCCATCTATATGCTCCCACTGCAATAATATTACTTACAGGTGACGGTAGAATATCTAGCAGGGAAGAAATTTCACGAACTGAATTGCAAAGGTGACATCCTATGACAGAACCACGCTTGAATTCATTGAGCTTTTCAGAATGACACATTCTTTCAGAAGTGTGTGTAAACCTGCTTGATTTTATACACCTGTGACAATGAAACACCTGAATTCCGTGATTTTGTTTGTTTGACTCATCTGCCGGCCCCTGGAGGATGGGCTCCCCCTTTGGGTCTGGTTCCTCCCAAGGTTTCTTCCTCTTAGGGAGTTTTTCCTTGCCACCGTTGCCTTTGGCTTACTCACTGGGGGGTCCTTACGAGGCAGAAATGTAAAGCGCATTGAGACAATGTAATGTTGTGATAATGCGCTATATAAATAAAATTGAATTGAATTGAAAATTAAGAGTTGTGTCCCAATACTTTTTCCCTATATGTAGTGTATGTACAGTGTATGATCCTCTGCAAAAAAGTATAAAATGCAGATGTAAATATTTCACTACATAACATGGTGTTACAATAACTAAATATGTACTGATTTCTGTAAATGTATTTTATTGTAACCACCAATAACGATGTTCATGGTCAGTCTTTGACCATGTATGCCCTGAGCACTCACAAAAAGGATCTGAACTGTGAAGAACAGAAGTGACTCACAGTGCTTCAGTTCGCCTCGTTTACAAAGAAATCCAGCCTTTAAGGAGACAAAAGTGAATACAGGCAATAGAGGCAGAGCACAAGTCATAGCCTGAATTTTTTTTCAGTTCAGCAGCTTATGAAAACTTAAAATTCAAAACGGACCAAAAAATCCAAATAAAAAAGCAGAATTCATATGAAACATCACTTTACTCTCACTTCCATCTACATAAAATTTCCTTTTCGTTCTTTTTGAAACTTATGCAGCAGCACCGGTTCCATGTTGGAGGACACAGAGTAAATGTTGACCCACGGTGCTCCGATGTCGTATATATATATATATACACAATGGGCTCTAGCTACCTTTTGGCCACGTTACATAGGATTCCATGGGATTTCACAGGTTGCAAACTGTAATACTGAAAAGGATTTTTTTTAAATTGCACTACACTATTGTGTTACACTACCGGGTCACAGCCCTAATTGGTGCCTCTGAATTGACCATTGGATGGTGTCCCCTGCTTTGTGTGGGTCCAGTTCCAGATTCTTACTGGAGAAGTGCTTTAAAGCTGGATGCTAACCCCTGTATATGTTATAGCAGGGAAGAACAGACCATGAGTCCCACGTACATACCATGCTAAACAACATAGCTTTTGAGTAATAATAAACATTAACATTTGTATTAATTTTTCAGACACTTAGAGTCAGCCAGCCCTTGCAGCCAGTGCTCAAGGGATTGGAACTGATGACCTTCTGATCACGGGCAGCCACCCTAAAACAGGGAGTTACACACCACCCCATCAGCATTTTCTCACCATTTTAGGATATTTTTTGGTACCTCTGTCCAAGAAGAACATTGTAGTTTACATAGTAAAAGTAGTTTGATGTCACTACAGAACAAACAGTGGTAACCTTTTAATCCCAGAGGCCAGGTACAGGCAGGCAGGTAGTTGATGATCACAGTGCTCAGCACATGAAGGCGTTGCGTAAAACCCGAGCGGGAGCTGCAATGTGGAGTAATTCCTAATCTGCAAATCCCCTTAACGCAGCCGGCTTAAAGAACCGGTGTACCTGCATGTGTATGCATCTTATATATTAGCATGTTTATCATACATAATGACTGCATTTTTAATCACCTGGAATTAAATCTTGTTTTTGTTTTTGCATGTTGCAGTGAAAATATGCTGGAGACTGTTGGACTGATTATTATTTGCAGATAACGATATGTCTCTGGGTTAGGATGCAGTCTTAGGGTCATATTAAAGTGAAACTGTCTTAAGTCTTTGTTGTAATATTAAATAATTATTAAGTATTATATAATTTAACACAACCATTAATGTTAAATCTACAGAGCTCGCCGCGGGACACTTGCTTAATTCAGTAACAGTTTTGCAAATTTATTGGTTTTATTATAAAAATCATTAGCTTAATTCATTTGTTTACAAAAATATATCTCACATTAGAACCAATCAGTAGTTTTAAAGCTTTTTTAAAAAACCTTTTTTTTTTTTTTCCTCCCATGTTATTTTCTCCCCATGTCTGGGGGAGTCTATTGTTTCTGTATCCCCCCCCGTTTTTTGTTTTTTTTTTCCCACGGGACGGGTGAGTTCGAAGCGGCCACAGTCTTTGCTCTTGAATGTAATGTAAAATAAAGTTGTCCTCCGAAGAGGGGGGGTGGTGGTGGGCAATAAAATAAATAAATAAATAATAAAAAAAGAAGTTTTAAAGTGAAACATTCATTTCAAGTCGTAATAAACTGAAACCCAAATTATAGTTTTAAAATATCTATTCTAAGTTAATTCATTGACCAGCAGTCTCATTTGGTGCATTTTAATTAGTAACACAATTCATACGAGTATATGATGAACAAACTAACTTCAGATCAGTATTTCATTGTTTTATTCATGACTAGTTCCTTCTATAGTTCACAAAGGCTTACAGAATTTACACATATAGTAACAAAAATAGTAACTGCTCGAGATAAACAAACGTCATAATTCAATAATGATGAATTAACATGAAATCAGTATGTAACTAAAACTTAGAAAGGGGTTAATTAATACATAAGTAATAGCATTATACTATATTATTTGTGCTTCGTCAAAAAAAGTGTTACCGATGAATCTAGTGTGATTCTAGCGTGACTGAATGTATGTCTAATAAAAAGGACCCAACACAGTGGGGATTTGCCTTGATTAGTCATAATCATATCAGTCACCTGTGCCGGCCTCAATCGGTGCGGACAGCTGCGATCCACACGTGCAGGTGAGCGGACCTGAGGGCAGGCAGCATCGGCTGGATTATTAGTGTGGCCTAAATCATTTTCTGCTGAGGTGTCATATCTGCTAATGCTAATCCCACGTCCGCCTTTATAAGGCGCCGGGTGGAGGGCGAGTCCATTTGAAGCAAAGACCCCCCCCCCCGAATCTCTCCCGGGCAGCCAGACGACGCAGCACTGCTGGGGCATTGAAGGCAAGCAGTAGCCATGAACGGCACAGAGGGACCCAACTTCTACGTCCCCTTTTCAAACGCCACTGGCATCGTCAGGAGCCCGTTTGAATACCCGCAGTTCTACCTTGCAGAACCATGGGCTTTCTCCGCCTTGGCTGCCTACATGTTCTTCCTCATTATCACCGGCTTCCCCATCAACTTCCTAACGCTGTACGTGACCATCGAGCACAAGAAGCTGAGGACGCCCCTGAACTACATCTTGCTCAACCTAGCCGTAGCTGACCTCTTCATGGTCTTTGGGGGGTTCACCACCACCATGTATACGTCCATGAACGGCTATTTCGTCTTTGGTACCACCGGCTGTAACCTTGAGGGCTTCTTCGCTACCACCGGTGGTATCATTGCCCTCTGGTGCTTGGTGGTCCTGGCCATCGAGAGGTGGATCGTCGTCTGCAAACCCTTCAGCAACTTCCGATTCGGCGAGAACCATGCCATCATGGGACTGGCATTTACCTGGATCATGGCGTTGAGCTGTTCGGCACCACCCCTGTTTGGCTGGTCAAGGTACATCCCCGAAGGCATGCAGTGCTCATGTGGGATCGACTACTACACCCTGAAGCCAGAGGTCAACAACTACTCCTTCGTCATCTACATGTTCGTCGTTCATTTCTTCACCCCCCTGGTCATCATCTTGTTCTGCTACGGCCGTCTGTTATGTACGGTCAAGGAGGCAGCCGCCCAGCAGCAGGAGTCCGAAACCACCCAGAGGGCCGAGAAGGAGGTCTCCCGCATGGTCGTCATCATGGTCATCTCCTACCTGGTTTGCTGGCTGCCGTACGCATCCGTAGCCTGGTACATCTTCACCCACCAGGGCAGCCTCTTCGGACCTGTGTTCATGACAGCCCCGGCTTTCTTCGCCAAAGCCGCCGCCGTCTACAACCCAATGATCTACGTCTGCATGAACAAGCAGTTCCGCCACTGCATGATCACAACCCTTTGCTGTGGCAAGAACCCATTCGAGGAACCAGAGGGAGTTTCCACTGCCGCCTCCAAGACCGAAGCCTCCTCCGTGGCGTCCGTCTCACCGGCGTAAAGAAAACGGAAATGTGTCGTGGCTCACAGAGAATCCTCCCGTCTTTGGTACTGACTGTGTCTACGGAAATAACACTCATAAGGGTGCTGCATGTTTATAAGCCAGCTGGCTTTGAATGAGAGACAGTCGCATGAAGGTGACGCGCTGCTACACGCTGTGTTGTTTCTGTATGTATAGTACATTTACCGTAACTGTGCAAGGAGAAAAAGCGTTTTTTTTTTTTTAGTGAACTTTAAAAGTCTGAGGTCAGCAGGAAGTGTTACGTAAAAACATGAATGTAGAAGCCTGTAACATAAAAATGCAACATAAATAAAGAGCAACTTGCAAATGAATGAATGACTTTCATTTTTCACTTGGTTAAGAACACAAAACAAAATCTGTATCTCATGAATGGGCATGCGTAACAGGAGTGTAATTATATGTACATTTATTATGTACATTTTAAACTTTATGTAAGTTGTGTAGTGTTTCTTCAAAAGTAAATGTTATATTATTCTATATGTAAACTTTGTACTTAGTGTAATGTGTTGATTGAGTAATTCATTTTTCAATTAAGAAAACCAAATGTTGCATAGATAGACATGAAACTTGTAGGTACTTTATTACATGCGTATAAATACAGAATTTTACTTCAATTTTCATCTGTTTAGCAGAAACATCAAATGCGACATTATTCAGAACTTCCCAACTTTTAAAAATCAATTATAAATTTCTAACATACCTGTATTTATTATAAATGTATTATTTATAATAATGCAACCAAATTTACACGAGTCCCCGTGGCATTTTTTTGTGTGTGTGTGTTTTTTTTAAGTAATTTTAAGTAATTTTAAGCCCATTTGAAGCATAACACTGACTGCCGCTCTGCTCTTCACAAGCACTTGGCATTGGTGAAGGTTAATCTGTATCAGGTTAATGGTGTTATCTCCTCGGAAGGGTCACGTCGACAGGCGAGGATGGCATTAAGGCGCATTACTGGCAGGATGTCACCACTGCCTAGGAGCTGATGGCCTGAGGACTCCCCCCTCCGAGGGGGGGGCTGCACACTGTCCCCAGGCCTGCCTTGCCCATATGGTGCTTTCCTCTAGCATGAACCACATGAACAAATGGCCGAGGCCCTAAATAGGAGCGACCACGGCAAACTGGAGGGACATGCTGTCCTGTGCAGCCATGGGTGTAAATTATAGGGGGATGGGGGGGCTGTAACTCCCCCCAATAATCAAAACCAGCCAATACAATCCCCTGGACCCCCTTAAATGGGAGTAGACCCCCCCCAAATGCTCAGTCCAAAGTTACGCCCTTGTGTCAGGGATAGTCACTGCCCCGCATTTCTGCTGCCTGATTCTCCGCCCACGGCTTGGGCATGGCTACCGCATGATCACCACTGCAGCCGCTCGGGCGCAGGCTGCGGACAGCGCTTACACCAGTGCTTCACAGGACTGTCATACGCACTGCATTTCTTATTAATGTATAAAGTAACAACAATCAGCAGAACATATACAGTATATTTTGAAAAAACTCCACATTGTTACATATTATATCCTGATACACAATAACTAATAGATTACACACACACACACACACACACACATATATATATATATATATATATATATATATATATATATATATATA